TTGGTTGTGCTCCCCAGAATTGCTGTAGTTTACCAAATCAGCAACAAATAACACTGGTCCTGAGAGGCTTTTGAACCTTAAATTGCTGATATCTTCGATTTTTTAATTTATTTTATTTTTAGTGATAGAAAAGAGTGGCAAAGGTAAAAGTTAGACTGTCAGAGTATTGGCCTGGCCAAGCATCTTTGTCTTCTTGTGCAAGTCTCTCTTTTTGTTAACTCACACTTAAAAATTACAAGTTATTTGTGTCTTCTAACAAGAAGGCCCAGGAAAAGGTGTTTTGGTTTTTTTTTTTTTACTTGTAAATTATCTTTTTTATCAGTTTTTTCTCCTGATATCATTGGAAGCCATCCCTAAGCTACCAATGGATTTTTCAGCCAGTCACTGGTGAAGGCTTCATCTTTTCCAAACAGTAAGCCAGAACTTTGCCACCTTCAGCAGAAAGGCAAAATTCACAAGTATGGCTCAGGATGGACAAAGGCTGCAGAACTATCTGGATTTTAGAAAAGCATGAAGAAACCTCCATGGCCATTTACATATAAGTGTTTATCAACAAAGAGGAACTCTGCCTGTTTAAGGCTCTGTGCAAGCCTGGGAAGTGGATTTGTCATGGAAATGTCTTTAGAAATGCCCCAGTGGCAGATTATGGTTCAGAACATTAAAACCATCTCAGTGGATTTACAAATGTGGTGCATACAACAGGGTTTTTTGTCCAGAACCTGCTGGTTGCCACAGAGGTGGCATAAGATAAAGGCCTGGTGCTTTTCCCTGCATTGAGTCTATCAAGGAATTCAGAGGTCTGAATGCCCTTCACTGGACTGTTCAATGCTTAGACAGAGGTGGACATGATAATTATAAATGTTTGAGTTCTATGGCTAAAGTTGCTACACAAGTATCAAAAGGAATAGCAAAATCCACTTGTGATGATGTTTACAGGATTGGGGTGGATATTATCCATGGAGGAACGAGCCAGAGGATTTGTGGGGTCTCTTCCAGATTCATCTGCTGTGATTCCTTGAGAAGTTTGTTACCTGAAGTGAGATAAAAGTCTCCCATTTCACTGCTCTTACAAGTGCTGCTGGAATTAAATTGAAGTTTGAAACAATCTGGGTGCCTGCTTAATTTTACACATGCTGGGCTAATTTTTGATGACAGACCTACTAGAAATGTCCACCCAACTTCTGATCCACTGTTCATATTCTTTCCAGGGATTACCCACATGGTATCATAGCCAAATGCTACATCCAATCCCATATTAACCACAGCCTGTTACTTGGCAGCTGAGAACCACCACGAGGGACTTCTCCTTCTGCTCCCTGATGGTGCAGGAAACACATCCTTCAGAAGATACAGCACTCCCTCTTTGGGCAGCCTGCTTCACTCCGGGTATTGCCCAGGTCTTGATCCCAAAGACAGCCACCCACATAATGCACAAGTGCAGCAGCCTTCAATTCAGCTCAGGGAGTGTGGAAACCCAGGGCATTGGGAATATTTTTCTGTCTGCTCTGCGGTGCTCTGACCCTGAGGGTAGCACTGACTTTGACCCTCACTCATGGAGAAAGTTTCCTAAACTCCAGAATAGAGTAGAATCCACTAGGGTGTGATGTAGATTGGACAGAGTAGTGTAGGTGTATCGGTAGTGTATCTATCACTTAGGTGGGAAATTTGGGGTTTAGGATTTTTAGTATGTTGTGGATGGAAGCAAGATGGAGGGCACAGGGTGTCATCCTGGGTTTCTTCCTCATGCTTCTTCCTCCTTCTTCAGGGGTTTGGGTGGCATTTTGTAATTGGGTGGAAAAGTCCACATTGCAGGCTTTTAGGGATCAGTTATTTGGTTAAAAAGGGAAATAATCCAGGTGTCAGTTCTTAATTGGATAGTTTAGCTTTAAAAGACCTTGGAACAAGAGATTGTTGGCCATTTTTGCGGTGCTTCTCCAGTGCACTGAGCCTGGTGTGGACAGCGCGCAAAACTCTAGATGAGATCACAATAAACAAGAACCTGAAGACCAAAAAAATCCAGTGGGTCTCTCTTTCCTGACACAAAACCACTCCAGAAGGGTCTCCCCCGACAGGGGAGCCCCCTGGGAGGGCCCAGCCAGAGTCCCAGAAGCCAGGGAATCAGCAACAGGTACCCTGACAAGGGAGCATTCCTCTCATCACACCTCTGGTATTTCATCCAGCTGCTGTTCTCCTCCAATGACATTGAAGTCTCTAAGAGGGATATATGCCCAGTTGTCACTGAACATACTCTGACCTAGGACTTCAAATTCTCTTCCTGAGGGTCTGGTAACTTAGAAGACTCTTGGTTTCACACATTTGAAATGATCATTCAATTGAGCCATACTCAACTAGAAAAAAAAGGATTAAAACACACATCCTGTAACATCCCCTGAGCACAAACACATCACTGGCCAATACATGTCCCCACTGAAGAGTCACCACTCAAGAGCAGGGTCATCCAGCTGTTTCAGAGTGATTCATTCTAAATGTGCTGAGATGGAATAACTTGTCTCAAACCCTGTGCTTGAAGCCAGCCAGCAGTTCTGAGCAGCCTTTGTTCAGCTATGGCAGCCACACACTTTATTCTCATTATTTTTCAAGTTTGCATGCCTTGTTGGGGCTGGCAGGCAAAACTGTGGAGAAAGAAAGAGACCAAGCCAGCAGTATCTGACTGTGAGGAATACCAGCAGCTCACTCACAGCATCCTGGCATCATGAGGCACTCAGTGACTGCAAACTCTGGGGAAGAGGGCAAAAGTTTTGATCAATTGTCGCCTCATGCTCTTAGTCAGGTCATGATCCAAATATGTTAGGGGGCTTTAGTGTATAAGGAGAATCTGTTTTTTCACACATGAGGCAGCATCTGAACTAACTTTAGAAAAACTCAGCAGTTTTGAATGAAACTGATTTTCAAAGCATGTGCTAGATGCAAACACAATGAATAAACTGTCTACAAGAGCAAATTGCAAATCATTTTTTCTTTCAGCTGAAAGAACTTTCTGGTACTAATCCATTCTGTAGTCCATGAGAATGTTCTCTGGTTTGCTAAAACTAACTGATCTCTCTAATAACAGCAAGGTCCTGGCTTTGTTTCAAGGCAAAGGTTCACTCAATTAAATCTCATTAACAGAGGACCACAAAACCTGCACTAAAACCTTTCTGGGTATGTGACCTTCAGCAGAACTGCTTCATTAAGTCTGAGATCCTGGAGAAAATGTTTGCTGAATAAAGTCATTCCTAATTAATGTTAAAATGTCAATGATTCATGTGCCATCCATCTTTACTCCTTTTCCTTTATGCTCTTCATTATCTCTTTAATGGGCAACCAATATAAAAGTCAAAAGCAGAATCTTTTAAATGTACATATAACAGGTGGGACAATGCAGCAAAGCAAATTTGCCAGATGTGCTTTCCCATGAAACATTTGTAACTTCCTAAATATCTTTCGAAAACCCCACTTCTCTGCTGCCATTAAGAATGGATTAATTAATTTGTTATTTCTGAAAACCATATGTATCGAGGATGAGCTTTCCCTTGCACCCTTTCTGATGTTACCTTGAGTTTTATTCCAAGCCATATGCAAGTCTTGATTAACAAAGTGTTTATTTACCCTGTGATGGATATAATTGTCTGTTCTCCAAGGGTTGCTCATCCAATTTTTTTTTTTTTTTTTTAATTAAACAGTGTCTGGTGAGTTTTTACTCTTCAGACCTGAGGGACGTCCTGGTTGGACTGGGGGCTCATCAGAGGGTGCTGTACAAATCTGGTGGGTCTGAACTCAGAAAATCCTCACCCCTTTTTCCAATAAGCAGTGATGGCAGCAGATATTGGGGCTGCTTGGACCTGTGCATCAGGACTTCATGGTGAAGGCTTAGAAAGACTCAGTAGCCTCTCTAATTTTTATTCTCACATTAAAGTAATGGGACCCATCTTCCTGCCCATCAATCTGTACAGCATATGCAAGCCCTTCTGGTGGTTTAAATAGGAATGACTCACATGATATTAAGCCTCTTAATGAAAATGTATTACATTATTGTCTTTCACAAAATGGGAGGTTTAAAAAGCCAAGTTAATGTCTTCCAAATGTCATTTACTGGAGACACTTTGGATCAAGAGTGAATTTTATAGCTTTTCTGCAGATCTGTAAGATGAACTCATCTTTGCAATGAAGGACATTCAATTACATGAAAATTATTAGAAATAAGCAGCTATTTAAATTTGAATTTGAATTTAATAAGAACTAGGTTCTGACAGTCTTAAAAAAAATTTCACATGATGGCAATATTGTTTTCTCCTTACATGATTGAACTCTGACATGTTTGCATTTGCATTTTTCTGAGCACCTTTTCATTGGTAATTATACTACTGAAATCTCAAAAATCCCAAATTTCAGTGGTATAAAGGATCAGTCTCTAATCCTGGCTACTTATGGCAAATTGCCTTGCAAAAGTGATTTAAGAAATGAAATAGGGATAAAAGTCAAGATGGTATCCAAGGCACAGACTCTATGGCCTGGCATCTTGAAGTTCCAGCCTTTCATAAGTTACAGAAAATTTCTATATTTATTTATTCCCAACTGGCAACCAAACTTAGGAATATTTAAATTGTTGCTGAAGCACTTGTATAAACACTGTTTAAATTGATTGACATGTGTCTAGTCTGATGTTGTGAACCCTAATGATGTGCAGGACACATGGCAGGAGCAGCAGTGCCTTTTATGCTGCCATGAGTGTGTGTACTAATATGAATAATTGGGTGTTTCTTCAGCAAAGGTAATTAAGCCTAATAACCTATAAATACAGAGTAATTGTTATCAATTGTGCTCATTTGTGTATGTGGCATAATTTGATGAGTATTTTTGATTGATATTCCTGTGGCATCCTCCCTGTGCTGTGATTAGACTGGGATTTTCATATCTGCACTCTTTCATTTATTGCTAACTAGTAATTTACCTCTAATAGCCTTTTCTTTTCTGTTCTCTCTCTCTTTTTTTTTAATTAGAGGAGATCTTGAAGACTCACATTGCTCACTGGTGGTCTCCTGATGGCACCAGGTTGGCATATGCAACAATTAATGCCTCCAGAGTCCCCACCATGGAGATCCCAATATATACAGGCATCCTTTACCCTACTGTTAAAACATATCATTATCCAAAGGTAAGGAAAAATAAAAATATAATTCCTGCTGCTCTATCAGAAAGAAATAATTGTTTATTTCCAGTAGGCTCAGACAGGAGACTAATAATGCACACTCATAAGCAATGAAAATAAACAGATCAGCTGTTCCTCGGCAAATGTGCATTTAGCACATTCTTTAGCTGCATTTGTAAAATTGCACTTTTCTGGTTCTGTAAGAATTAGTAACTCTCTATACAATGAAAATCAAATTTAAAAATCCTTGCTTTTTCCACACAAAAAAAGCAATTGTGCTTCCATGTTGGAACAGGTGGAAGCTGGATGTTAGCTGTGGGTTTGTCTCCAGGATGGGTTTGTTGGTGTCTGAGGGCTTGGAATTTCTTTATTTCTGTGTTTGGATATGTTTCTATATTTAGACATGTTTCTATATTTAGATACCTTTCTATATTTAGATATTTTTTATTGATAGATTAGATAGATAGATAGATAGATAGATAGATAGATAGATAGATAATAGATAGATAATGATAGATAGATAGAGATGATTAATAGATAGATAACAGATAGAGATAGACAGATAGATAGAGATAAATGATAGACAGATAGAGATAGATGATAGACAGATAGATATTGATGATAGATAGATAATGATAGATATAGATGATTGATAGATAACAGATAGATAGAGATAGATAGATAGATAGATAGATAGATATAGATAATAGATGATAGACAGATATATAGATAGATAGACAGACACATACATACATATATTCTATATTTACATAGATTCACTTTTGTATAGAAGGAAAATGTAGTATTTGGACTTAGAATATCCAGGACAGGCTAATGTCAGAGGACACAGTGGTTTTAGAGGTTTGCTGTGCCTGAAAGACAGAAAAAGACTTAAGAGCCAATCTGCCCTTGACTGCAGACCTGCAGGGAGTGCACAGCACTGGCACAGCTCTCCAGCAGCACAGACTCACTGCTGCTGGTATTGCTGCCATTTCCTGCTCTAAAAGCACCACAGGGGGGTCTGCTGCACTCATTCCTTCTGGGTTTCTTGCTTTAAGCACTGGTTGCCTAAGACCTGACATGCTGGTTCAAATTGGAGCATACTTTAGCAGGAGAGATAGCCACAAATATGCAGATTTTGTGGAAATCAATGGTTCAGCAGGAGATGCCCTTTCCTACAGTACTAAATGGATCAGTATTTCACTATATCAACCATCATGCTATTAGACAATCTTTTGTCAAAAGCTGCAGGAAATAGCAAAATTTCTAGCTGCCATGAAAAGTAGGGTTTTTTACTAAGATTAGAAGTGTCCTGAGCAAAATTGCCCTTTTTTTGTGCCTGCCAGCCTCTCCGCACCTCTGTGCCACATCCCTAGATTTGCAAACTCCCTGTGAAAGACCACAGCACTCCCATCCATATCCTGGTCAATGGGAATGCTTTTCATAACCCATGCAGATGCAATAAATCAAAACCTTTCTGTGGTTGATGATATGGTATGATGGTATGATATGGTAATTTATTCTTTTCTAAAATCCAGGCTGGAATGGAAAATCCAACTATTTCTTTGCATGTGATTGGTCTGAATGGGCCCACTCATGACCTGGAAATGACTCCCCCAGATGATCAGAGAATGAGGTAGGTGCTTTCTCCCCCTTCAGTGCTGGCCCCAGTTCCCTTGGGGTTTTTTCAAGATAATTTTGCAGTTTTTAACACTGGACCTTTGTGTGCTGCTATCAAAAAGTTTCGTTTTGTGTAAATCTGCTTTTTTTTTTCCATTTAGTTGTCTTTTTACATGTATTTTAAAGAATGCTATATTATAACAGACTTACACTGAGTAACTTTGAAATAATCCAAACACATGTATGCAAAAGAAGATGTATGACCTGTGGCCAAATCAAATGGGTATTTGCCTTTCAAAAATACAACTTCAGACCTGTGTACAGCAGGTGGGAATTCAGGATCACAGTATCCCCATCACAGTAACAGAATGGTGGCTCCTGAACAATGTAATTTCTCTTTTGGTAGCATTCTCTGTAAACAGAGAGACTCAGAAAGGTTTTAATTACAGCAATAATTTCTGACTGCAGGATCCAAGTGTTGTTCATAAATTTGTTCTATATGGTTATGGGTGGCCATAATTTATTTAGTTGCAATCAATAGTGCAAAATGATGCAAAATACATCATAATTAATTAGTGCCTGTATATTTCATCAAAACCATGGCAATTGCCATCTCTCATCTCTAGGGATGATAGAAGTAGTGCTGCCAGAGCAATAGGGGTGTATTTTCATTATGCATATGTTTTCTGAAATGAGAAGATTAGTGTGATAAAATGTTATTAAAATAGGCAAGAGGGATGTACTGTACATTCAGTTACAGAAGGGAGTCTCAAGAAAGCAGGGGAAGCTGGTGATAAGGATCTTCCAGCAGGCACATCCTATCTGAAGCATTTCAGTGTGCTCAGTGCAGATGATATAAGGACAGAGTGGTATTTCATGTTCTTTTTATCTGGAACAAAGTGATTTAGTACAATTAATAAAGCTGAGAATAAGGTGGAGATATGCCACGGCCTTTTTTCTTTCAAAATTGAAAGAAGCCAGGAATTTTCCACAGAAATTGGATATTTTTCAGTTAAAACAAAAAATAAAATAAAATAAAATAAAATAAAATAAAATAAAATAAAATAAAATAACAAAGAAAAAAAACAAGCAAAGCTGATGAAGGGAAAACATATTTGGCGGGGAAATGTACAATATTGATCACTTGTCCTTTTTAAATATCTTTCATTCTGAACATTTTTATCAAGTTTTCCCCAATGCTCTGCTCTTCTGTGAAAAAAAGAAAGTGAAGGGAAGGGGTTGAAATCAAAGGGTGAAAATTAGTCAGTGCCTGACAGGCATTTTTTATTTTGGTGAAAACTACTGGACCTCGAGAGTTTCATCTGCAGATGGTCAAAATTGGATCATCACCCAGCTTATTTCTCATATTTGCATCTCAGGTGGCAAATTGAGGGATTATGTTATCTCCCTCAAGTGCAGAAATCCTCACTGGCCCTTGCATGGGCCAGAAACAAATAAATAATGGAAAAACTCAGACAATTCCAGTCTGGATGTGAGGCAGTGTCTGTGCTCAGGGACCATGGGCTGGGCTGCTGCCTGTCCCTTGGCCTGTAATAAATCCCTGTCTGTTCTTTGTGCTGTTTGTGACTTTGGCCATACTGCAGATATTCATATTGTAGAGTCACACCTCATGTTTGGGATTGCTGCCTCCAGGAAGCAGCCATGGAAAGCTGGGGCATGAACGAGTCTGCTGCACAATTATCTCAGTCTCAGGTGGTTCAAATCAAACCAAAAATGTCTTTACTGGGACGTGGAAATCCATTGCAAAACTCAGGATGGCTTCACCCTTCCTGGCAGGGCTCAAGCAAGGTGTCCCTTCCCTTTTGCTGTGCTGTGGATGTCTGGAAATGCAGTGCTCAAGGATAGATTTTGTTATATGGAAGAAACAGGATGTCCCCTAAATCAGCTCCACATAAAATGTGGGACAGGTCAGGCAGAGAGGGCTTGGGAATTGCACTGATTTCCCATTTCTCTCCACTGGAGCTCAACCAGGGCAGCTGCAGGAGCAGCAGATGTTGAACATTAGCTGAGATGAATCACACATTCTTGTCTCATTTTCCTCTGCAAAATGAGAACCATAAAACTTGGGTGTCCGATAGAAGAGATGTGAAGGGAAGTAAATGAAATTAAAGACTCCCCACTACTCAAAAACTAGAATAATGACTTTCCAGGTATCTGCAGTTACCTGTGGGCTGGGTTATCCATGGTCTTGATGACTGCAAGAGGGTTCAGAGGGGAATTGAGACTCCATACCCTTCTCTGGGGTGGTAGGGAAGACCATGATTCACCTAAAATAATAATCAAAAGTTCCTGAGAAAGAACTGTGGCTCCTGTGTTCAAACAGTGAGAGGGTTGTAAAAATTGAATATATGTCCTTGAAACCTTAAATTGGATTTATAGAAGAAATGCTCCAAGCCACAATAAGTACTTCAATCACATTCCTTTTCTGGGGAGACTGAATCTGCTCAGTTCATTTTGGAGAGAAAGAAGAGACAGTTATACAATTTAATTTTGCTGTGTTGTTTTTTTTCCTCTTAGGGCCTTCACTGTTGCTGATGAAGAGTAAAATTACAATTTTATTTCAGGCTCTAAATTTTCAGACTGCTGTTGTCTCACCTGGGCATATCCTTCCCCTCAGTGTAGTGGATGCAAGCATTGAGGCCTTTTGTTCCTTTTCCCTGCAGCCAATTTCAGGCACTAAATATTACTGAAAAGTACAAAATCAATTTCCAGCTTGTTATTTTTCTAGACAAACAGACCTTTGTGCTTTTGCCCTTTCTCTTCAGTATATGCAGGAGCTCTTGCCAGAACACAAAGGGCTCTCCAGTGACACAGAGCATTATTTCCAACGAGAGCAACAGTTCCTTATACATATTTTATAGCAAACAAATGAACTAATAAATTTTTTATAGACTGTATGCTGTAAAAAGTCTTATTATACTTTAAGGATGTCTTGGCCTACATGGCCCAGCAGTATTTATTATAACATCACAGCTTTGGCAGTTCAGCCAGAGTTGTGCTCAACAAATGAAGTGGTGGAGCCCTGAATTGCTGCAGAGGTGGACATCTGGCAGCACCATGCCCTGGCTCTGAGAAGGCAACCATCAGTGAATTTATTCCTGTATTTTCCTGCCCAGCCCAGGTGGTTGCAGTCCTCACTATTGCATGGGACTTTTCCTGGAGATATCAACTACAGGACTGTGCAGCCCACACCCATGGTTTGCTCCAAGTATCATCACAACCTGAAAATGTCCAGCAGTAAGATGGTGCAGGTAGTGTAGGAGGGTGGTTTTGCTCATGCAAACTATCTCTGCTGATGTCTTTATGGCAACCGGCTGCATCTGCTTTACAGAAACCCTGTGTCACTCCAAACTCTATTCTTCTTACTATTTGTCTTTTAATACAACACTCCTGGACACTTTGGTGTGTAGCCAGCATGCTCAGAGGCCATCAGCTTTTCATAAGCATCAAGAACCCAACCATTGATAGTGATGGGTCTGAGTCAGCTCAGTTTAGTGTGCTCAGAATGGAAATGGTTTGCAATTTCTTTTCCACCTGTGCATTAATTTGTAGCTCCAGGCAGTTCAATCCTTCTTGGAAGACAGAATAGCTTGAAAGATTCTTTACCTCTGCATTCGTCTCTTCTGTGAAAATAACTTCCAGAAGTGGCAGATAAAACACCTGCTTAGTCCTAAAAATGTCATTTTTAGGGGCTGAAATCCATACACAAAGCAGCCTGGATACACCAGGACATGATGTTCTTTGAAACCACAGCTCTCTCCTGGCCTGTTTGCCTGCAGCAGCTGCTCTGCCATGTGGTAATTCAGGATGGCAGCGTTGTGATCTGCTTTCTGTGTGTGTGTGTTTGCAGGGACTACTACATCACCATGGTGAAATGGGCCACCAGCACCAAGGTGGCAGTGAACTGGCTGAACAGAGCCCAGAATGTGTCCATCCTGACCCTCTGTGATGCCACCACGGGGGTCTGCACCAAGGTAGGAGAGGTTTGCAGAGCACTCAATTGCCATCAGTGTCCAAAACCCATGCAGGGAGAAACTATTTCACTTCTTTTTCATTATGAAAAGCCAGCTGGAACACATTAATTTAGGCAAACAGAACATAAACATTGTTTAATTTTTAATTTTTTTTTAACACCCAGTAATCCAAGAACACTCTATGTGTGTTTGAGAGAGGGTGATTGCCTGTCTTGATTACCTTTACCCACATAGAAGCAACAATTTGCAACCTAAATACCTTTGCAACATTCCAGCTGCATTATATGTAGTTAATAGCATTAAAACCAGCTCATGCTTATCTTAACTGTAGTTAATTAATCCCTTCTATAAATGCACTAATACAAATGATGAATTGATATAAGATCAGCAGATTCCATTAGCAGATTCTATCATTTAAACTGGCATGGGTTTCCACTGTATAGACTTGTTCTAATACACCCATACCTTGAAAAAGATCATGCAATTCTGTGCATACAGCATGGTGAGAAGTTTTTTTTTTCTTAATAACTTTCATTTCAGCCTTTATTTTTTTATTAAGATTTATTTCTTTGGGGAATAATACATCTTGTGGATTTATGTGTTTTCTCTGTACGTGTAAAATGCTTTTTTGATCTAGTGAATGTTTATCCATTAGGGAGGAAAGTCAAAAAAAGCAGCCACTGGATTCCACTCCAGAATCACATATTTAAACAGTTTCTCTGTGTTTCTGACCAACTTTTCAGCTCCAATCCAACAGTTTCATGCATTGTTAGGCAAAATATAACATATGACAAGTATGGTATTAATGATCTTTTTGTCTTTTAGAAACATGAAGATGAGAGTGATGCCTGGCTGCACAGACAGGTAAGAGTGATCTTCCCCATGTAGTCAAGTTTTTGGTAAGATAATTGCTTCACTGAGTTTTTCCCCAAAGAGAAAAAAAAATATTTCCAGATTTGAGAGAGCTACTTGGAAGGTGGCATGATGTGTAAAACAGAAAAGAGCTTCTCAGTAACAAACAAGTTCTCAGTAAAGGTGCCATCCACTCTGGTAGGTCCCATAGTCCTTAGCCTGCAATTTAATTGTATTTAAAAGAGATGAAGAGCTGATGTGGGTGGGAGTATCCGTATAGGTGTGTATATATATACATATATATATATATATATATATATACATATATATATATATATACACATATATATATACATATATATATAATCACTGGCAGTATCTGTATAAGACTCATCAGCCTCAGAGGCAACCCTTCATTCCCTGCCCTGACACTGTTGATGACAGTTCAAGCACTATTGTGGTTGTTTTCTGGTCATTTTGTTGAGAGGATCTCTGTCCATTCAGAGACAAAACCATGCAGATAGACTGTTGAGTCACTTAAATATCATATATAACACATGCCCAGGAGTCAGTTTGTGAAGGGAGCTCAGATTAAATGAAGCTTTTATTCAGAGAGAAGCTGTGATCTTGATTCAGCCACAACACCAAACTGTTTTTTCAAGCCTTGTGTGAACACCAGACAGGGAACAGCATGTCACAAAATACCTTGTTCAATATATTTTGCCAAGTCCAGATTTAAAGCATTTCAAATTTTTGTCACAGCCTGTTCAGAGGAGCCAAGACCCTGTAGAAATGGCACTTCATCAGTTCACAGCAAGAACAATGCTCTCCTCTGTTCCAGTGGCTGTCCTGCAGCAATGGGCTGTGTGTGATGCACATGAAAATTGATTTTATGGGGAAATGGATTTTGTGCTCCAAGCATTTCAAATAATCTTTTGCTGATATAGAGTAAAAATGGTGCTGAAATATTCTTTACATTCATAAGGACTGTATTGGCTTAAGTAGGAAACAAAAGCTTAAAAGACAAGCCAAATCAAGGGGAAATTCAATTGTCCAGATATTGTATATAAAAAATAAAAATAAAACAAACAAACAAACAAAAAAACCCAACAAAAATATCATCCCTAACTGGCATTATTTATTTTATAAGTTTGAAGGCAATAGTAAAATAATCCTTCCATTGCTATTTACTGCAGTATAGTAGAATCTGTGTTTTATATTATTAATACAGCATAGTAGAACTTGTGTTTTTACACTGCTGTGGTTATTTAGTCACCTACCACGTGGACAGGCATTAAAAGATAGTGCTTTATCCTCATATCTGAAGTAAATGATCTGTCAGTCTCTAATGGGCCTGCTCCAGGGAAATACATTTTGTTTTACTACATCTCCAAAAAGCATATACTTATCTTGAGAGCACACTCTTAGTTTAATGTTAGAGAAGGATGTTCATTACAGCCAAATGAGTCAGACATCTCAGTGCTAAACCAAAATAACATTTTCTATGGACTTTGGAGACATTTGATAGCATCCTTCAAAAGCTTTTGTAGCAGTCTGAAGAATCATATAGCTCTTTTGCCAGTATTTCTGACAACAAAATTACTTAAAATTCTAGTTTTGACTGAAAATGATTACTGGGGTAATTGTATTTTCTATATTTGCCTTTTATTCTATGACACATTAATCTAGATAGCTGGAAAGGTATTTTCATGGCATGTGTGCCTGACTATGAGGATGATGTGAAAATGTTAAATGTTAGTCTGGGTCCACTGACCTCTTCAAGAAGGAGATGAATTGCACATCAACCTCTTCAAGAAGGAGATGAATTGCACAGAAGGAGCTCAGGAGTGTGGCTTGGCTCAGGATGAGACTCCTTGGTTGAGACATTTCAATATAAGTGTCTGCAAATGAGCCCTGTCCCCTCTGGTGACACCAGGGTGGTGGCAGTGGGGTCACACAGCCAAGGGACCCTGGGCTGGGTTCAGCCTCGTGAGCAGTGCCCCAATTTTAAATCAGCAGGACCAAGGAATCCAACCTTGTTCTTTAAAACACTCCCTCAAAATGTTCCATATGCCTGGTTTGAAAGGTTTTTTGCACAGGTTTTACCTTTTTCCTGGGAATTTAATAGGGACAAACAGTCAGCTGGGAGCAGGAGACAAGACACTCACCAGGGACGTGAGGTGATCCCCAAGGATGACAGGGTTGACTTTTTTCAGCTGTCTGAAATCCTGGGACTTCTGAGATAAAGCATACAAGCCATGAATTTGAATTTTGTTGTTTAGTAGTTTTTAATAGACTCAGTGGCATTTGAAAGTCCCTGTATGGAAGGTCATAGTAAACAATCTCATGCTTCCTTCTGGGCTCAAGTTCATGAATGTATTTTATGCAAGTCCAAAATCTTTGGAGAGCCTCTCTCCAACAAAGGCAAGGAGAAATAATGCAGCCACTCCCTGTGCAGCTAAAAAATGGAATAAACTACTCAAAGTATCATGAAGAATATTTTCACAGGATTTGTTAGAAAGTATCTGTCACTCTTTGTCAGATGAGGTGGCACATGTTCACTAAAACTGTCCAGGGACTCTGCAAGTTTATACCTCTTTTATTTAAGTTTATACTTCTTTTATTTATATACTTGCTTGTGCACTTCTGAGCACAAGAGCCACACTGAAACTTCACTCATACTTTTTCTTAAATGCACAAACTGTTTGAAACACTAATTATGGCTGTAAGCAATTTTGTTTCAATTTCTGTGAAGAAGCTTTTTTCCAATAGTTCTGGGGATGGTCATGTACAGGCAATGATTCAGCAAGAGAGAAATCAGGCAATTTCTGAGCACCTGCTGATGATAAACTTTAGTGGCATTTTAATTGTTTTATTTATTTAATTGTGAATGTGGCCTGAAAAAAAGATTTAATTAGAAACCAGGGTGCAATTGCAACTCCACCAAAGGCTGCAGTTTTTGGCAGGATTAGGAGACCATAAAATTGTTTAGAGACCTATAACCTTCAAACCTGCCTGCATGGGCTGGCTGCCCTCCCCTGATAACAGCTTCTTTGGGTTGCATTTTATTACCAGTCCTATTTGCCCATTGTTTTAGATGACCTCAGTCTGAAGCTAAAGACTCACTCTCTTAAAAGGTGGGGATGATGAAAACCTGGCACCATTTTTCTTTTACTACTCCCTTGCTTTAATCCTGCATGATAACCCAGTAATGATTCTTACATGTAGTTAATAGGAGGTTTGAAAAGAGATTTTTATTTTAAAAACAGAGTTCAGAAGAACTTATAAACAGGACCCACTGCTTCACCCTGTAAAGCACTTTTTCCATGCAATTATCCCATAATTAAACTAATTTTAGCCTAAAGACAGAGGATGCATCAGAAATAGGACCCAGAGTTCCATAACTCAAATACTCAAATTCATCTACCAGAGATAAAAAAGCAGCTCCTGGCTACAAAGAATCTTTTTGGTGTTTAAATGAAGAGTTCCCATTTCACCCAGTGGAGGGGATCTGTACCCAGAGACATGGGATCCTCTCCAGTGGTTGACCCTGATTTTTGGTGCTTCAGAGACAGCCAAAGGTGTGGTGCACCCAGCCACAGAAGAGGATGAGGACAGGGATGAGGATGAAGATCAGCACTGCCCCAGGGGCTGAGTGTGTCAGAGATGGAAGGAGATCTTCCCCCTGTGTCCTAAAGAGGAGGTGTCTGCATTGTCCCATCAGAGTCAATGCACATTGGGTGTTTTTTTGTTGGATTTAAAGTGTTTACCAAGGGATTAAAAGAATTCATGTCACACCTATCTGTTTATCAGAGCTATGGGCCTGTGACACAGAAAGTATTGGGGCATTTCACTGAAAGAATAATTTGACAACACAGCAAAATCATTAATTCTGGGGTCTGGGCAAAGGTGGGTCAGACACAGAGGGCAGGAGACTGCTGAGGAAGGGAAAATGCATCAGAGAATCCATTGGAAAGGATCCAGTTATTCAGATTAATTTGTTTCCTTTTTAAAACCTGAGGATGAACCAGAAAATCATAATTCTTATGGAAGTATAACTCTCAGTCAGAAATAAAACCAAAATGCAAAGAATGTGCTTTGCCACTAATTTCTATGAGGAAATGTGTCCAAGAGCATGTGAGGCACTGCAGAAGAGCAGGAGGCTGGGAGTGTGTTGAGCACAGACAGAGCAGTGTGGAGCTGCAATGTGTGGTGCTGAAATGTGGTGATTGTTTGCCCCATGTTAATGTGTGGGTGGGTTTGGTGCAGCTGCACTTCTGTGCCCACTAATCTTTCATAAATTCCAGCTCACCCTAAACTGGATGATTTCTCTTTCAAACATCTGTCCTGGTGTGTGTTTGATCATGCAAATCCTCAAGGTCAGAGACAGCTGTGCACTCCCCACCATCCTGCACACACCTTGTCTTCCCTTGTTTTGCCAGAGCAGCCTTAGGTGGCTGCAGATTCAGTGATTCTCAGGGATCCCTCTCCAAACACAACTGAATACACTCTACCTTTTTCTCTTTAATTGCTATTCTTTTCACCAGGACTTTGTGCTCCTCTCTAGGATCTACAGAAGCTCAGACTGCATTTAGCATTGTGCCCTCGCCCATCCTGATTCTGCCAAACTCAGGATAAGCCCCTGAGGCACTCCTTGTTTTTTTTCTCCTGACCATTTGCAGATGAGTTGAGTTGTGAAGCTCTGAGCTCCAGCACTGAACCCTCCAGGAGGTTCTGAGCCCTCCAGCAGCCTCCCATTACCTTCCCTTTTCCAATAAAGCTAAAGTATTTGGTGGCATAACTTCCTCACATTTCACTATCATCCACAACAAAAAGATTACCAACATTTGAGACGATACCCATATCCTTTAAAATGTATTAATGAAACATGAATTTGTTCAAAACCTTTTTTCACCTACTGATTGCAGCTGTGTCTAGAATCCTCCTGTGGCAAAAACTTCCAAACATTCCATACCTGCTGCATAGTAAAAGTATTGTCTTTTACTAGCACTAAACTGATCTGTTATTTTCCAGGAGGGCTGTCCTGTTCTATTATTGTGGGATTCAATCAACAACAGTTGACAAAAGGTTTTGACAGTTCATATCACATGCAGAATACTTTAATTATGTGCCCAGTGTAGCTCCCTAAATGATAAAATCCTGTTCCAAGAGAATTTCAGTCTGTCTCTACATTTACCCCGTGGGTAAGTCATCATCTCTGTCACAAAGTTCTGCCTCATTCATTCATTCATGTGTTGCCTTTCCAGCAATGGAACAGGCAAGCAGACTGTCTTGTATCATCAGCCCAGTGCTCAATCCTCACATCTGTCACCTGTGCCATGAACCTCTGTCCCCTGCAGCTCTGAATGAACCTCAAACTCTGCAGCACAATGCCTGCTCTCACTGGCAGAGACATATTGCTGGAATACATAATGCAGGAGGCACAGATATAGAAATGGAGGGTGAGCTCATTGCTACCTACCTCAGGAAAGGAAAACCTGTCCAGCAGAAGGTTTGCCTGAGCTATCACAGTCATTATTCAGTGAGGTTTCTGCTGTCATGAAAGACATTTGGAAATAATATAGAGTTTCGTGTTTCAGGCTCCAGAGCAATGTCAGAAATAAATGAAACCATTATTTCATTGAGCTGCAACAAGCTGCAAATGGGCATATTTTAAAATACACTGAAAACATAAGCAGGGGAAAATAAAAGGCAAAAAGAACAGTTTGAACACCTAATAGAGCACTGACAAATCTGATAAATAGCAGAAAAGAATTAATCAGTAAAGAACAAAGGAGCAAAGGAACACAGAGTAAGAATAATGTGTTAGCTTATGGGAAATAAAAATGTTTATTCCTTTGCTGTGCCATAAGTCTCCATGTACAATCAGATTCAGTGTGGTTCAGTGCTTGGCATGTGCCAAGCAGAAAGTCAAGGGCTTTCATTAACACTGAACTGCAGAGGACCCAGAAAAGGCTGGCAACAATCTCCTTGTGGATTGCCCTGGATAAAGAAGGGTTAACAAAGCCCAGCCAAGGAAGGGCCCATCCAGGCACAGAAAATCCTGATATCACAGGACAGCTTCAGCAGAGGTTCAGCTTATTATTCAGTGCCAGCTAGCTGAGACTTGGAGTTAGCTTCATGTAGCCAGTCCTGTTGGTACAGTGCTCCTGTGTCCCACCACATGGGCCACCTGAATCCCACCACATGGACCACCTGAATCCCACCACATGGACCATCTTTCTGCCTTCCCTGGTAATCTGCTGTTCAACCTCTTCATGTAGTGGAGACTTCTCATGTGCCTCAGGGCTCTTGTTCACAGAAAGAATGCTCCCTTCCAGGAGATGCTTGCTTGCCACATGTGGTGTTTGATTTTCCTTCTGCTGAGTCTCTTCTATCTCTGGAGGGAAGTTCCAGTCACCCAATAAAAGTCAATCACCATGTTCACCTGGGAGCTCTGTGTCAAAGAGTTCTGCAGGAGATCCTCTCCTTCATAAATAATTTAGTGAGATAAGCATTTGTAAGGCAGCAGAAAAAGACAGCAGTTCGATGCTGTTCAGCAGTGTTTCCCCTGGAAGAACACAGAGGTTCTTCCAGCAGGGCAAACAGGGTTTGTCACAGCAGTTCCAAAGGCTCCAAGTGCCTCAAGCAGCCAGCTGTACACGTGCATTTTGGCTTTGAAAATGGCAATTGACTTTATAGCCAAGGAACTCTCCTTGCTGCCTGTCCTCCCCCAGCTGAAAGGTGTCTGCTTTCCCAAGAGCAAGAAGCAAAGCTCAAAACTTCCTCCAGTTTTCAGTGGGCTCTTTGTTTGCCTCAGCTTGCTGTCAAAGAGCACTTTCTATTTGCTGTGAATTCATTTTACAGGGTGTTGGAGGGCTGAGCAATTCTAAATACAACCAATTAACACTAATGCACCCCTAATTTTGCTGCTTTTGCAGAATGAAGAGCCCGTTTTTTCCAGGGACGGTCGGAAGTTTTTCTTCGTCCGGGCCATTCCCCAGGGAGGACGTGGCCATTTCTACCACATTGCCATGTCATCCTCACAGGTAACTCCCTGCTGCTGCTCTGGGTCTCACCTGAGGCAGACAGCAATAAAAAATAGTGGCTGTGCTTGTAGCAATGAGATGGGGAGGTGCAGATGTAAAAAAGTCTTGGGCGTAAAAGAAAACCTCCGATGATGCTTCATTTGGGCATAAGATAATGTGAATTTCCAAAGAAAAAGGTCAGTGGAATTTCTCTTTCCAAACATTATTATTGTTTTGGTTTGGTTTTTGTGATTTTGTGATTACTTAGCTGTAGATAAGTGAATCTCCACCCTGCCATAAAGGATTAAACAGAAGCATGTGGGCAGTTGTATCAGAGGAAGGGGTTTGAAGTTGCTCTGGGTTGAATTCACCTCATTATCTTCAGTGGAGTCATGGTTAAGATGATTCAGACTCTCTGTTCTTTCTATGCCTGCAGGTTCACAGAAATGGCAGGTGTAGTGGTGGAAATTGCAGATGTTTGGTTTATTTTTCATGGACAACGGAGCCAGAAGAGCTCCCTTTTTCACAAGTTTTAACAATAAAGAAATCTACTTCTCTTTTCTTTCTGGCAGCCCAACAGTAGCAATGATGATTTACAGGCTATTACATCTGGAGACTGGGATGTGACAAAGATACTGGCATATGATGAAAAGAGGCAGAAAATGTGAGTAAACTTTGGCCTGACAAATCAGACTTCCTTTGTTTAGCCCTGGGCTCGGGGTTGGTTACAAAGGTGCTGTGTATGCACTGAAACCTGTGAGCATGAGGAGCTGGGAATAAGAAAGCAGAAGCTGTCTCCATTTTGGCTTAACCTCTCACACCATTACACTTATCTTGTGTGATTTTGAATAATCTGCACAGTTCAAACCTCTCTTTCTATGACTGTTAAATATATTGTGCAGATGAGTAATTTCTCCTGCTGTAACTTCTGATATTACCCACAGTAGGAAAGCAGCCTGTTTTCATCAACCACTTAGTCAGTTTTGGAAAGAATCTTTTGTTGACCTGCAAAAATACCGATGCAGTGGAAAAAAAATTAGGTAGAATTAAGAAAAAAAAAAAAAGAAAAACAAGAAAAAAAATAAAAACAACCCCACCCTTCTTCACACTTTCTCTTTATGCTTTTAAAATAAGTTCTGCAAACATTCACTTTTTCAAATACACTTCAAAAAATTACATAAGAAAATATTTAGACAGCTTCTGGAATCAAATAACAGATTCCTTTCCTGAAAAACTTTTGGGTGGATACAAGGTTTTCACCTCTCAGTTACTTAAGGGCACTGAACAGTGGAGTAAACAGTCTCTGGAATATGATAAACTTTGAGTGATCATCAAGAGCACAGTGCTTCAGAACAATATAAAATCATAGAAATATAGAATCACAGAATAGCTTGGGCTGGAAGAGAATGAGCATCCAGTTCCAGCTCCCTGCCATGAGCAGGGACACTTTCCACTGGACCAGGTTCCCCCTCAAACCTGGTCTTGAACATTTCCAGGGGTGGCCTAAGTAGCAAATTAGCACCAAAGTCTTATTAGCATTTTAACTGGCCAGTCAAGCAGAAAATGCCAGACACAATTTGTAAAATCAAGATGTGTGCCCAGGCAAGTGCAGATCAGCAGGGATGAAAACCCTTCCTGGCATTGTTCACCCCATGGATGCTACATTAGCTCCTGTGCTCTAGCATTATCCACACAAAATGCATCTGGGGGTTTAAATCAGATTTCACAGGTGGGACTGAGGTTGGCCTCCTCCTGCAGCATCGCTCTTTTACCTCCAGAAACTGCTACTGCACAGCTGAGCTTGTGTTGATTATCCAGAGAGGAGCTCAGCACAGCACAAGGAGAACAAAGTGTTCTTCAGCTTCAGGCTCTGCTTCCCATCAAATGCTGAGTAGATGTCTAACTTCCTTTTCCAAAGGAAAAAATGTGGGCAGAAAAGTAAAAACTTCCCCTAGAGAGAGAAGAAAGGTCTTTAAAAGAAATTCTGAGCCATGAATATTGAGCTAAAAAGGTGGATGTCTTCCATTTAATCACTTGATCCTTTTTTGATCCACTGACATGACGAGGGTGGGACCCAAAGTTTTCCATGTTTGTTTTAATTGCAGTGCAGTATGCAATTACTTCCTTGAGCCTCTCAGTGATGTGTCCCTCTGTATCCTTTCCTAATTCAGTTTAAACTTCCCTTGCTTTTACAAGATCATGAAAATGGCAGTATGAGTGAAGATGTTGCATGAGACACTTCTAAACACCCTTCTAAAGGTACAATTCACTTTTATTTTCCCCCTCCAGCTATTTCCACAGCACAGAAGATTCACCAAGAAGAAGACATTTATACAGGTTTGTGCTTTACTAACTTCATATTCAGAATTTCCCATTTCTTCAGTTTTACACAAATAATAAGCAATTGCAGTAGGAGCAGTTTCTTAAGTTTTTTTTTCTTTAATAGCATTGCAAGATCTGTCAGTGTGTCACTGGAAGAAACAGTGTAACCATAGCAATCAAAATGCTTGACACTTGGAAATGTTTTACATTTAGCAATTTTCTCATATCAATTCAAATTTTAAACTGTGTCAAGACTGACTATCACAAAAAGATAGTCAGTTCACAATAGAACTGCTTAGCACTTGAAGGAATTCAGAAATACATAAAATAATGGTATAGACTTTATACTTTATAGTCTTTATACTTTTCAAAAGAGGTTTTAAGAAATTTCATAGTAGCTCACCTCTTCATGAAACTGAAAAGAATTAACAACATTTTATGTTTACAAACCCTTTTCTGCAGTTCCAGAAGATTTTAGCATTGTCCCTAAGCATATGATAAGTAAATAGCTGGTTTTACAGCAAGCTATTGGTAGTGTTGCCATTGTGAAATATTGTGGAAGCAGATTACAGAGTGAAGGAAACACAAACTTTTAAACAAACATTTTGGAATCATTATTCCACTTGTCCTGTTTCTCTTCTCAGTCACGATGCTGCCATCACAATACCTGCAATGAAGGGCAGAGTTGGTGAAGGCATCAGTGGACAAGGGACAGTCAGGACATTTTCCTTCTCTCACATATAGAGAGGACATCACATCTTTTTGTTCTTCAGTGGGAAGGAAAGTAGAGCAAAGTAAATCACCTGTGATTGAATATTTTTTCCTTTAAAGACCTATATGTCTGTTCACTGCACTCCACAGTTTTTTTGAGTGTTTATTTTCTTGAAGAAAATTCTAAAATTATATTAACCTTTCATTTCTTTTGAAATGAGAAGAAAGCCTCACTTGAGAAACAGAGTCCAGGCAGAGTTCAAGAGCTGCTGGCATGAGTGAAAGCACTCCCACTCCTCCTTGTCAGCATCCATCTCACCCTGGGGCCTCATCAGCCTCATCTCCCCACACAGACAACAGAGAAAGAGCAGATGAAGACCTGTTCAGGGGTTTTCCTCCTCCTTTTTTTGTGTTTGATTTAGTAGATTTCATTAGGATTGTAGTCAGAGATAAAATCTGAGCCTAAACAAGAGCCCATGATCACTCATTTCAGTCTCTGTGATCCTAAAAAGGTTGCTCAGCCTCATCTCTTGAAATGGTAGCAAGAAATACTCCTCTCCTTTACAGTAATACTAGAAAGATCTCTTGGTTAATATTCTAGATGTTTAAAAATGCTATCTATTAATATTTGCTAGTAATCTGTAATTCTTCAACATTCAGTGGACTCTTAGCAGCAAACTTGTGAGCAAATGGACAGGCCACATTACCTTCCTCACCAACAGATCCCTAAACAAAATCCTTTCTTTCTGCTTGGGGGTTTTAAGAGCAGAGGTTTTGCTTATTTAAACCTGTAAAAAGGGCTTTGGCCTCTGATGAAGCTCTAGCAAATCAGACCAGTGGTGAAACCAATAAGAAACTTAGAGAAAGCAATTCCAGCTCTTAATTGTCTGTTATAATATAAATAAGTGTTGAAATGTTGCTCCTTTGTTTCATGCCTTCATCCACCAAATTATTACTTCCTCCTGTGAAATTGCAACCATCATTTTCTTTTAAAAACTGTGCCTTCCTTCATAACCACCTGACCTTGCAAAATGACATCAGTATCCATTTATATATTCTCTATTCAAGCAGGAGGGGAAAAATCCATCATTGCTATTTAAACTCAACCAAATGGAAATACTTTGTCTCTTACTAATGTTGGACACATTAGATTTATATTCTTGTTCTAAAGAAAGGTTCAAGTAATGTTGCTTTCAAATAACATTTGCTCAGTGACCTTCATGGAATTGTATTAACTTTTTCAGTGCAAGCACAAACGGGAACTTCAACAGGAGGTGCCTGTCCTGTGATCTGATTGAAAACTGCACTTATTTCAGTGCATCCTTCAGCCACAATCTGGAATACTTCCTGCTGACATGTGAAGGTATGTGCTGGGTTCTGTCACTGCAGTTGTTGTGCCTCAGGGGCAGGATTTAGAGCCAGCACTGTCATCTTCAGATATTCTGTGTACCTGAGGTCAGCTTTGAAAGACTTGCCATGAATATGTTGCTTTTAAAGCTTTGCTCTTGACATTTTTCTTTTCTTCTATATTTTTACTTGTAAAAATATACTTATTTGCTAGAAAGCAAATATTTACAACCTTTTTCTGTGTATACATGCACAGAAGGTAGAAGTAGATTTCCGCAGCCACCACCAGCATCCTTAAAGGAGTGTAACAGCAAAACCTGGAGGATATAAAACATCAGAAAATTTATGAGAGAGAGGCCAACAAGGTGGGGTTGACTGTAGGTGACTGGGTCTAAGTTCCAGATACATCAACCAATACGGTGAACAGAGGGATTTAAAGTAGGTTACAATGAGAAGACAATTTGCCAAAAGGCATCTTACAGAAATTTTCCTGATGGACAATGTGAGTACAATGTGAGTACAATGTGGTGTATCTTCCCTGCTCATCCATCCTAGATCTACTTTAACTTGGCATAATCTGCAGGTCCAACAGGGATTTCCTATTCTGAAAATGCCTGAGAGTATCCAAGATGCATTTCAGGAGAAGAGTCATTGAAGTTTTCTCCAACTCCAGTCAAGACTAAATGCAGAACTCCACTAAACTTAATCTATATAATTTAATTCTGCTTAATTATCCAAAATTGCACACAAAATGCATGCACACCAGTCATCTGCTCCTGGGATTGAAGCTGCTCAAATGGCTGCATGTCCTCTGCAGAGAGACCTGGAATGGTTGGATGGATGGGCAGAGTCTAACAAGATGAAGTTTAATAAATCCAAGTGCCCAGTCCTGCATTTTGGCCACAATAACCCCTGCAGTGTTATAGGCTGGGGATGGTGTGGCTGGACAGTGCCCAGGCACAAAGGGACCTGGGGGTGCTGGTTGGCAGTGACTGAACACGAGCCAGCAGTGTGCCCTGGTGGCCAAGAAGGCCATCCTGGCCTGGATCAGGAATGGTGTGGCCAGCAGGAGCAGGGAGGTCACTCTGCCCCTGTACTTGGCACTGGTGAGGTCCCACCTCGAGTGCTGTGTCCAGTTCTGGCCCCTCAGTTTGGGAAGGATGTTGGGATGTTTGAGTGCATCCAGAGGAGGCAACAAGGCTGGAGAGGGGCTGGGAACACAAACCCTGTGAGGAACTACTGAGGTTGTTCAGCCTGAAGAAAAGGAGACTCAGGGGTGCCCTCATCACTCCCTGCAGCTCCTGAAAGGTGCCTGTGCTCAGCTGGGGCTGGGCTCTTTCTCCAGCAGCACTGACACAACCAGAGCACACAGCCTCAAGCTGCACCAGGGGAAATACAGGCTGGATATTAGAAAAAAGTTTTTTATGGAAAGAGTGATAAAGTTCTGGAATGGCTGCCTGGGGAGGGGTTGGAGTCCCCATCCCTGGGTGTGTTTCACAAAGCCTGGATGTGGCACTGGGTGCCAGGGTTTGGTTGAGGTGTTGGGGCTGGGTTGGACTCGATAACCTTGAAGGTCTCTTCCAACCCAGTGATTCTGTGGATTCTGTGAAAAGGCTTGAAAAGCAAACAAGAAATTTCTTATTTTCAACAGCTCAGGAGAGAAGTGAGTAGGTTTTGAAGGGATATTAGGAAGGAATTCTTTACTGTGAGCAAGATGATGGCCTGGCACAGGCTGCCCAGAAGAGTCATGGATGCCCCATCCCTGGAAGTGTTCAAGGCCAGGTTGGATGGGACTCTGATCAATTTGGGATGGTGGTGTCCATCATGGGGGACAGCAGTGGCTCTGTGGTGATGCAGGGGCTGCCCCTTCTCTGACTGCCAGGTATCCACTGCTGCCACTGTTTGTGGTGAGCACCAAGGGTAAGTAAGGAATATTTGAGATGGTAAAATGGGAAATGATCAAGATAAAGTGGAGAAGTAGAACCGTTTGTATAAAGTAAAATACCTGGACTAGGACAATTGTAAAAACATGTTTTTTCACCTGGAAGGGAATGATAGGTTGCATGTCAGAGGCATAACATAACACAGTACAGAAAAATAGCATTAACAGGGCAATACACTAATTGATTTAATGGACTAATTAATTTAATGCACTTACCTGTAAATCTGAATTTATAGTTATGGCAGACATATGCACAGAAGTGTCATTTGTCAATAAACATTCAGTTCTCTAGTAAATATTATGTTTACTAAGTTCTTCCCTTTAAAAGAAAAACCTTGTTTATTTTTCTTCTTGTTTTCATTTCAAGAACAGCTGTCAGGAGCTACCAGAGACAATGTCCATTTCCTTTGCACCAAGATAATTGTTTTACTGTAATTAGAAGCATTTGTGAATAACAAGATTAAGGTTTCTGAAGGGCCTTATCAACAATTATGAGGTGATTTGGTTTTGATTACATTATATCTCATCCACAAAAACCTGCAGTGATACCTGAAGAGATTAATTAGTTTTATTAGTGTGTACATTAATCCAGTACACAAGATAATGATTTTGCATAATAAAGTATGGGTCTGATTCTCAGCTGCTGTAAACAATAACTCAATTATAAGGTCATTAGGATTAGATATATTTACATCTGCTGAATATATCTTTGTCTGAATTTTAGTTATTTGGGACTAAATTCTCAAATCTCACTGTAGCACAAATACAGCACAGATTCATCTGTGGAGCTCATCTCAGTGTCTCCATTCAGAAAACTTAAAAAAAAAAATATGCATACATGAGAAAGTACAGAAATCTTGGTAGAATTTCCATTTTCAGTGATTTTATAAAAATATCAGTCTATTGCATTTGGTGGAGTTATTCCTTATTTACATGACTGAAAGTGAGAGGTCTTTCAACCTCTTTGCTTTCAAGCAGTTTGTGGGAACCACACTTCTTTTTGGCATTTTTCATGTAGGATCCATCTAATTCAGATGGGTGCTGTGGGTGCACTTGCAGCAGGGACAGCTCCCTCTGGTTCCTGTTGCAGCTGATGTGAGCCAGCTCAGTAGAAACCTCTATTCTGGATGAAGCACAAATTTTTGGGTAAAAACATCATCCTGTCAGACTTTGGTGACATAAACAGGTGCTGTGGTTTCATGGAGAATCACCTGGATCCACTCAGAGGAGAATTCCTCTTGCACAGCTCCTCAGACTGCTTAGCCACAGCTTGGCCATGCCTCAGCTCCTTTGGATGCTGGGTCATTGCTCACAAGCATTCATGCTCTGGTATGGTTTAGATTAACAGGAAATCTAATTTATTCATATCCACGTATAACACAAAAAAGGTAAAGCTCCTTTGTCACAGACATCTTTTATGAAAAATCCTTTCCTTAGGATTTTTCCTCCTGAGAAGCTGAGAGGCCTCAGGAACAAAATGTAAACAATGATTATCTGCTGCTGTGGAATGCAACAGGTGCATCTGGGATTGGTCCATGTGGTTGTTTCTAATTAATGGCCAATCACAGTCAGCTGGCTCGGACTCTCTGTCCAAGACACAAGCTTTTGTTATTCTGTCTTTTTCTATTCTTAGTTAGCCTTCTGAGGAAATCCTTTCTTCTATTCTTTTAGTGTAGTTTTAAAATAATATATATCATAAAATAATAAATCAAGCCTTCTGAAACATGGAGTCAGATCCTCATCTCTTCTCTCATCCTTGGACCCCTGTGAACACGGTCACATTCCTTGAACAAGGATCTTTCAAGGGAGCCTGCAGATCCTGTAGCTGATCCAGCAGACAGAACAAGCCCACCAGGGTGAACAAGAGTTTGTCTTGTACCCCAAAGGATTCTGCCAGGAGTTCCCATCTCTGCTTCCCCCAGAAAATCCCCCCAGTTGGAGCCAATGCTCAAGACCAGGCAGTGGCAGACAGTACCTGTGGCTGTTTAGTGCTTTCTTCTCCATAACATGTCTAACATGCATAAATTTGTATCTAAATAGGTATCAAATACATAAATCTCCATAATATGTATAAAATGCATCAATATGTATAAAAGCACCCAGAGCTCAGGTCTGGCTGTCTGCTCTGTGGCTGTGACATAAAAATGAGTGTCCATAGCAATCACTGGTGTACCCAATGTCAGCCTCATATGTATCTTTGGAGGTAGCTAAATTAAATTATTTTCCTGTAATCAAGCCTGTAATAGCTGAAAAATCTGTATTTTCTCAGTCACATGGGCAAACTTTTATGGCTTGAAAGCAATTTCTGTACTGACAGAGAATAACCACCACCATACCTCAGTTTCATTCTATCCCTTCTTTTGTGACCTTTTGCTGCAAATTTCTTTGTGTCTAGAGCCACAGACATGACTGTGGCTCAGCTGAACTTCTCCACAATGGATGGCAAGATTTGTAAGATTTAAGCAATCAATCAATGCTTATAAAATACTTTGTGATACTTAAATGAAAGGCAAGGTTAAGGGAAAATATCTTCCTCAAAAGGACCCCAAAAAAACCAAGAAAGGTCTGGCATTGCTCATTTGATCCCAAAGGTCAAAGCTGGAAGTTTTCTACTCACTCTTTTGATGCTTGAAAGGCAACATATAATTTCCTTAAAAGATTTTTTGCTGTCCTGCAGAATACATTTAACAGCCTTGCAAGCTGGCACAGGCTGAAATGAGAGCAGCTGCTGCAGTAGGAGGTAACCTCTCTTGAAAGAGGGCAGTGCAATGCTTGCTGTCAGGAGGCAACATTTATTGCAATCAGTCAGTCCCAGAAGGCTAGTTACCTTATTTTTCATCTAATTTTATATGCTCATGATTGAATTACTGTAGCAGGATTTAAGGAAACATGATGCTTTGCAGACGGCTGTTAGATTATCTCCTCTAGACATGGTTGAAAAAGCAGTATCTGCTTGACCAAGGTCACTCCTACTGTCATTTTCACCATAAAATATGGGTTTACACTTCTGCCTCTTCTCATAAACCAGCACAGGCACATCCACTGATTCCCTCTAAGATAAACAGAAATAAAAT